GATGCAGATGGGTGGCTGTGGGCTGCCCTGGGAGGCAGAGGATCAGCCCCAATCCACATTTTTGCCAGCCCTGAAAGGAACGCTAAAATGCCACTCCTTCCAGACCCAGCAAATAGGGCACCTGAAGAGCCACCACGTGGCTCTTTTGCACCTCTTCCGGCGCAGCATGTAAAAACCACTGCGCCAGGAGGACGTCCTCAGGAAAGAGTTGGGGTGCCCAGTGTGTGGCTGCCCCTCCCCTTCCCTGCCTCCAAGATGGCACAAAGCACCGTCTGTAGAGGCCCAAAATCTCTCTCTACTCCTCCACCCCCCACCCACTCCCAAGCAGCTTTTCCTCTTGTAGTACCCCATATGCTTGTTCACAAAGGCAAATGAAAGTTTCATATTTTTTTTCATTTACAGTTGGCCCTCCATATCCACAGATTCTGCATCCGCTGATCCCACCATCCACAGCTTGAAAATACATTTTTTGAAAAACTCCAAAAAGCAAACTTTGATTTTGCCATTTTATATAAAGGACACCATTTTATTATGTATTGTATAGTAGGACTTGAGCATCCACAGATTTTGGTACCTATGGGGAGTTCTGGAACCAAACCCCAGCAAATACCAGGGGACCACAGGATTTATTGCAAGATATATCTCCTGCCTTTCTTCCATAAGTTGAAGGCACCATACATGGTTCTGTTCCTCCCTGCTTCATCCTCCCAACAATAATCCTGTGAGGTGGAAGCAGAGACAGACTGGCCAAACATACTAGGTGAGATCCTATACTGTCTGTGTGGAGCATAAGGCTCCAGATACACAGCTCTACACATTCCCACCCAGCAACTGTCAAACCTTGAGGAGAAGAAAGGAGGAGGTGGTTCTTGGGCAACCAAAAAGTGGCCCATCTATGCTCTGAGGTTAAGAAAAAATGAGTTTGCTCTCCAGCCAGGAGAATAACCTTGTTTCTCTTTGGCTCCACTGCATTTACAGCCAGGATAAGCCACTTCTGTTGAAGGTGGCCACTTCTTGTATTGAGGTAACATTTGCAGCTATGCTATGGAGGGCTTCACTGCTATGTGAGGGAGGATAGCATGGAAGGTTTTGGTTGGTACTCAAGAGACTAGTGAATGGTTTATTGAATACAATTCAAAAAAGCATGCACATCTGACTCCAAGTTACATGTATGTTTGTCACCAACAGGATTCCAGCCACAGATATGGGGGGGGGGGAAGGTTATCAGGCATGTCAACAGTGTGAGATGAAGCTGTATCATGAAACCCCTCATTCTCTCAATGCATGGGGATGTTGTCTGACGCGCACACACACTCCAGAAGTTTACACACAATTTACACACTTTACAAATCAAAAATTGGCAACTTACCACTATGGTAATCTTTACAGACATTCAAGAACTCAAAATCACTTGCAGATTTAGAGAAATGTAGATTTCATAAATGCTTACAGGCTTGGTTAAAAGTTCACACTAATCCATTTTAATTGTCAGGTTAACAGACGGAGTGTGAAACACTGAGAGAACGGAACACATGCTCATTCTCTAACAAGACGATAAAACGAATGTGTCTTCTCATTTTGGGGGCAAAGGTGGGGATTTTCCTCCCAAGTTTTGGGACTACTGAAATAGATAATCCACTATTTTTATTCTGAGACCATTATGTGTATCCTTTGGTTTTAGTGGAGCTGGCATGCTCATAAATCGCATCTTCCCTGAGCTGTTATTTCTGCCTGGCAAATTATTTTTTTCATTCACAAGACAATAAAAGGTCACTAGAAAGGGAAAATATATATACTTCTCCATCTCATAAAATACAGTTAAATAGTATTTAGCATTTATATTTTTTCCAGGGTGAAAATCAAAATATGGTTTGACTGAATGAAGACCTATGATACGGAAAGAGATAAATTTAATGCCCCCTTTAACAAAGGAAGAGAAATCTTCAGTTATACCAGGTGAATTCAGTGCCAATTTATACACGGGTCCACATAAATACGGGAAGAATTTTTAGAGGGTGTGTGGCAATATAGTTTCAAGGTAATATGTTTTAACTATAGGCTAGGCATCAGTTGATCATATACAGCCTCCTTTAAGGTAAACAGTCATTCCCCAGTCCTTGCTAAGTAATCCATTCCCCAGTGCTTTGGCATCACAGAGATATATACCAGGTAACTTTCACAGTGTCAGCTTGTTTTTCTGGAGGAAATTTCCTATGATCAAGACACATAATTTAAAATGGATACAAGCATTTTTCTGGGTTAGACCTTGCTAAGTCATGTATGTTTTCCTATCACTGGAAATAGATGTACTCATTGGATTTGATCAGTGTAAATGGCTGAAGATGTCATTCAGCTTTTGTTGTAAAGTAAGGATGTGTCCAAAATTGTACATTTCTTCATAAATTTGATAGAAAGAACTTGAGATTTAAATATTTCAAATATAGGAGAAAGTGAAACGGACAGATTTATCTAGCCTTAAATTCTTATGCTGCACATTTTTTTTTGAAAGCACCTATTCTTTCAATAGAATGTGGCACACTATCCAAAGTGTGCAAACCTCTTCACATTCTTTGTAATATTTTTTTAATCTACAAGAGCTTCATCAAGTAGGATGAACAATAACAGAATCCTAGAGTAATTTTTCAAGGCCACTGAGCAAGTTGAACTCTGTGGATTAATTTTTTTTCCCCAGGCAAATTAATTCTGCTCTAAGGGAAGGTTCAGAACACTTAGTTTTCAAATAAAGCAAGAAAACTACATTTGTGGTGTATCTGTGATGCCAACAGCAAAAGATTTGGAGGCAATCCAGTCCTCTTTATCAAGAATATGGGTTTATATGGGACACATTGTGCATGTCAAATCCAAACACAATTCTTTTGTAGCAAGACATCATGTAAATCAAAGGCCCAGTTAAATTAATGTCTAATGTATTTATTTAGCAGATAGGAGTTCAGTCATATAAGTAGCCATTTCTCTCTGCATGGCAAAGAGTTTTATTCATTCTATTTCCAGTGTTTGGGCTGTGAATGCTACTGCTGATACAGTAGCTAAGAGAAGTTATTTGTGTGTGTGTGCATGTATTGTGTGCCTTCAAGTCATTTCTGACTTATGGCAACCCTAAGGTCAACCTATTTTGGGGTTTTCTTGACAAGATTTGTCCAGAGGGGCAGTGTCATCCTGGTACCGGAGGCTTCTGGGTGTGGGGCCCCCAGTTTAGCACACGCTCCCTCCTTTGTGCCGCCTCATTCTTTTCCTGATAAGGAAAAGGACGGGATTGTGCATGGGGGGAGGACCTGACTGGGTGTCACCTCACTTCTGGGGTATCACCCAGTGCGGCTGCATCACCGCACGCCCTAATGATGCCACTGCAGGGAGGTTTGCCATTGCCTTCCCTTGAGACTGAGAGCATGTGACTTGCCCTAGGTAACCCAGTGGATTGAGCCCTGGTTAATTTCCCCCCGCAACCCTGGAAGTTCCCTTGTCCCCTCAAAGTCCCTCAAGTCTTTGTGGGAAGAGAGGAATGCACCATCATTATCACCTGCACTTCCTCAGCCACCTGCTCAGGTTCTTTGAGCCACACTCACACAGCTGCTCCTCCCTGCCATGTCTTGAATCCCTTGGCTGGGACAGCCAGGAGATGTTTGAGAGTTGCTCTTGGAGACAGGGAATGGCAAAGAATTGAGACACCTGCTTGCCTGGGCTGTGGAGGTGCTGACGCTTCCCCTCCTATGGGCAGCTGAGGCCGCAGGTGGGCTGATCATCTTCAGGTCTCTCATTCTAGCCAATAACACTGTCATTGGAAGCCTTCTGTTTTATCTTTGGCTTCTTCCAACACCACTTTCCTTTTCACATCTCTTGTTCCCTTCCTCCTATTTGCTGGCTCTACATAGCCTCCGCGTTTCCCAATTTGGCTGGGACAGTCCCAATTAACCCTTTATCATCCCACAGTTTTATCTTCTTTTAAAATGCCCCAGTTTCTCTCTCCTCCTCCCATTTTCCCTCCATTTCTTACTTCAGTTGCACCAAACTGAGTTCAAAGTACAGAAGTAATTTGCACTTGAGAGTCACTGTGGCATAGTGGTTTGAGTGCTGAACTTTGATTCTGGAGCCCAGGGTTTGATTCCCAGTTCGGCCATGAAACACACTGGGTGACCTTGGCCAAGTCACACTCTCTCAGCCTTAAGGAAAAGCAATGGTATACCTCCTCTGAACAAATCTTGCCAAGAAAACCCCATGATAGGTTTTAGGATCACCATAAGTTAGAAACGACTTGGAGGCACTCAATAGCAACAAATTTGCACTTAATTAACTCAGTGGGGGAGAGGACAGAACTGTGCCCTTCCCCGTAGGCTCAGGCAAAGGCTTGGGACATATCCCAGTTCTCATCTGTGAAATGTTGGAAAGTATGGCTCTATTGCATTCTTTTGGTCATCTGTGGCTCTCTCTCTCTCAGGCCCCAGTCCAAGGCCAGACTGACTAAGGACTCTTAAGTATTTCATAATATAGAATTCACTATTATTTTCTTTGAAATTATCTGATTTTGCAATGGATGGCAAAAACAATAAACAAATAATAGTAATACCAAAAAAGACACCTGATTGACCCTGACTGCTGATTTAACCAGAGCAGATCCACCCAATGCACAGGTAGGTTTGGGAGAAAGCCTGAACATTGAAGTAGTACCACACTGCTGGGAAAAAGTTAATTTTTGTACCATGACTTCCAAAATTCTCCATCCAGCATGGCCACTTTGGGGGGGGATCTTTAATACCAAAAGAATGTTTGGAGAAAACTCTAAGAATGGAAGACTCCAAAAACAGCCCAAAGAAAACTGAGAATGTTCATTGGTTGCAGAATGTTCAGGAAAGAAACAGAAAACTGGATAGGAGAATGCATAGATTTGGGCATTGTGTATTTAACATGAAACCTCATTCTGAGTTAGCAAAGAGGAAGAATCCATAAAAAGTGATTACATGCATCACTGCTCAGAAAGAAGCATGGAAATCTCCATGTCTTTAAAATTATTGGGTATCCAGGTGTCTCCTCTGTCATCAGGTTGGGCATGTGCTGCTGATTTTTCAAAGCAATGTTTATATATTTCAGCATACATTTCCCTATTAATATTCTAGGATCATGACCTATAGGATTTTGAATGCCTATATTCTGATTACCCAGCAATTGTTCAAATGGAGAAAGAGGCTAGGAGCAAAATCCAATTGTATCCATCCACTGATGGAAATGCATCAGTCAGGGGAGTGGATTCTCCTTTCCGCTAGTAGATCCTCGGAATCATCCCTGCCAATATTTCCTGATGGGGTTCAGTAAACACCAGAGCAGAAGAGAGGGGTATGTGAAAGGTTGCAGGCAGGATGAACTCATGAGGAAGTCCCATTGTGGGAGCAGAACTCTGCTTAATCCTGGATTTCATTTCAGACCAGAGCCCTTTCAGGTTATACAGTTATAGCACTATGATTCCATTATAACTACTATGGAATCCTGGGTTTCATAGACTGGTTGGGCACTAGAGCTCTCTGGCTGACAATTCTAAATACTCCTCCATAAACTACATATCCTAGGATTCCGTAAGATGTTACCATGGCAGTTAAATGGAGTCATAGGGCTATGACTGCATAGCACAAGAGTTCCAGGGGGGAGAACCAAGCATCTAATGCACCATATTGGCTCCACATCATTTTTGTGGCCCTCAGATCCTCCAGACTTCCCAAAAGGAGAGGCCTCCAGGAATGGCCATTCTCTGGCAAAACAAGGCACTGCAAGCACTTCCAAACACCTCTGGTTTCTTGAGGGAATGGCATGCGGTGGGTCCTGGAGATGGGGGACCCAGAATTTATCCACTCCCACCTTAGAAGTTTTTTTTCCCTGCCAGAATCACTGACACCTGTACATGAAAAATCTGTTTTGTATTTACACTGATGCTGAATTAGTAAAAATTCTTGGGCCCATGAAATGTTGGATAACATCTTTTGCAGCTCCCATCATTTATTCTCGGTAGGCATAATCTCATGAAAGTTTGTCTGGAGACAGATGTCTTTGAGTCGCAAGACTGGCCAAGAAAACCTTGGCATAAGTTTGCAATGGGGAAAGAAAATGTTCCCATGGCAGTGGCATGGTGGTGAGGAGCAGGGAGGAAGAATTCAGGCCTCGGCAAGCACCGTGGTGGAGGTGGCAGGAGATTAATGACTAATTCACAGAATCAATGGTCAGGGCCAACAGCTTTTCATCTCCCTTTCCCATTCCCTTTCACCTTTTGTCACAAAGAAACTCCCTTCCCAGATATAACAAGGCCAGTGCCACATGCATCACAATGGTGACCATCAGGAAGCATAGGTCTCTGCCTAGCCTGGAAGTGATCATTGGACAGCCCTGGAGTAATTGGATTGTTTCTCAATTTTATGGGAACGACTGAACTGCCATGGAGGAAAGTTTTGAGGAATACAGGATAAACTGAGAAGCAGTGAAACTCTATAGAGATGGGAGCAAGGAGAGAGGAAAAAACTGTAGACTGAGGCAGAAGGAGCTTTACATTGTCTGCTGCAATATATGTGCAATGCTTGTCTTGTTGCCAGAAAACTTCACCAGTTACACCTGAAGCAAGTGCAAATCGGTAACTCTCTTGGAAAAGAAGATCAGTCCACTACGTCTGCGTCTTGTGTCCCTTCAATGCATCAGAGAAGGAAGACTTCCTAGATAGAACAAAGGGAAAACTAATCATAGGACGTTATCACACGGGGAGCTCCGAACAAAAGCCGGCTTTAAAGTGGAAGTGCTACCGCAAAAGCAGAAGCAATTAATTAGCTGGCTTTCCCCGTGTGAAAACCTCCTGCGCATTTAAAAGGAGGTTACTCCAAACGGAAAGTAGGCAGAAACTTCTTCTTTATATTTTCGGAAGATCCCCATAGTATTCCAGGTGGCCTGGACAGTCCTCTACTGTTTCATCCATAAGGTCGCCATGGGTCGAGATTGACGCGAAGGCAGTTAACAACAACAAATAGACAAGTTGGAGCAGCAGCAGAGAAGGGCAACAAGGATGATACAAGATATGGAGAACAAAACATATGAGGAAAGGTTGAGCTGGGCATGTTCAGCATGATGAAGAGAAGACCGAAGGATGACATGATTGCACTCTTTAAATATCTCAAAGGCTGTCACAGAGAGGAGGGGGCAGACCTGTTGTCTGCTGCCCCAGAAGGTAGGAGCAGGTCTAATGTTTTGAAATTACAGGAGAGTAGGTTTTGATTGAACATTAGAAGGAACTTCTTAGCAGTAAGAATAGTTCGGCAATGGAATCAATTGCCCACAGAGGTTGAGTCTCCTTCTCTGAATGTCTTCATAAAGAGGCTAGACAGATCCAAGGTGGGAATGCTTTAGCTGGACATCCTGCAATGATCAAGGGATTGGACTAGGTGATCCATGGGGACCCTTTCAGCTCTAAGACTCTGTGTACAGCAATTCATGTTAGAGCCCATGGAATCACAAAGTGTTTATTGATTTTTAAACTCTTGTACATTGAGTGACCCTGAGTGACCGGAGACCAAAACTGCAAATTGCCCAGTGCCTTTAATGGGTTATAGTGACAAAGCAAAATAATTGAACTTCATGTCTAGTGTCTTGCATTTATCTGCTAGGATCCATGCAACCCTTTCAGAGGACAGTGCTTGTCAGTGCTGGCTGCTGAATGACAAAGTCTTCACATAACCTTCAAACCTAGCCAGAGATCAGGCCAATCAAAGTCATTCATGTGAGTCCCACAGAGCCAATAAATGTCTGATTCATCTGTCAACATATAGTGGCTCAGAAGTAGAGCTTAGAAGCAAATCTCTCTCTCACACACACACACCTATCTTATTGTGACTAATAAGGATTTCTCACTTCTCTGCATCCTTCTTGCTTAAGAAAAGGGTTTGCTGCATTCACTGAATCGAAGCACTATGGGAAAGACAGAGATTTGCAAGTCTTCTAACCAATGTTTCACAATATGCCACAGTTATCACACTTATTTTATAGCCCAACAATGCAGATTATGGGTATTTCTTGCTTTGTAACTCAAAATCATAGGGATCACAAAATATCCTATTTGCCTACTTCTTTACTAACAATGTGATATAACATCTTACCAGAAAGGCATACATTTTTTTTAAAAAAAGTAATGTAATACATTTTTGTGGGGTTTGTTGTTGGTTTTTTGTTTGTATGTATTTTACAAAAGAAACTACATAAATCTTTAAAGTGCAGTTTTCAGCATAAGAAGACAGTTCTTTTCATTTCATCTCATTGTAAGAAGGCAAATGTGCAGCTGAGTGGCTTCCTTCACTGACATGAAATCAAGTCCCTATGCATGTAACAAAGAGTTTTAGATACACATCATAGCTTGCAGGTAGTTTTGCTAAACAGAAATGAACAGTGTAACTAAATATAAATTATTACTTCAGGGTGCCTCCAGTCCCCATTTAAAAAAATTATTGCACTGAGGTTAAATGTAGTTATTCCTACACTGGGAACTGCAAATTAACAACAAATAGGTGTATACTTAAGATCAAGAACACCACACAATTATATGGAAGTTGCTTATTTGGACTGATCTCCCTCCTCCAGTAGTCACAAGAAAACTGCATGACATTTCAATATTATTTAATTATCCTCATTTCATTTTTCTCCCAAAGGCATCAGAGAAAAGTTTCACAATAAACAACTAACCAGCCAATGAACCAAAGCTAATAATGTTGTTATTCTGAGAAAATGGAGGGTCTTCAAGGGTTTGAATAGATTAAATTTCATTTTGAGTATATTCTGAATTCATCTATCAGAAACCTCCTTGAAATTTTGAACACTGGTGGGGAACCTGTGGCCCTCCAGATGGTGTTGGACAATAATTCCATTCATTCCTGATCACTGGCCATACTGGCTGGGGCTGATGGGATATGGGAGTCCAAAGACACTTAAAAGCTCACAAATTCCCCACCTCTGATTTTAAAAGATTTGACATGCATGATGAGGGATGAGAGAAAGAGATAAAATAAAAGTAACTTTGCCAAACTGTGCTTAAACAGAAATCTGTCTTCTGATTTAGTATGGATTCAAAGAAGTTTGGAAACAACTAAAAGGAATTTTTCTCCT